GATAACATCAATTCTCAGATACAAGAAGGATGAGTAAAAGTCTTGAGAATTTTCTAATGAGAAGTTAAGAAAAATATCCCTGAACTGTGGCTGGGAGAGCCCTACAAAATTCTGGGACTATTTAACATCTTGATATTGACCTCCTCTTATTTTATTTTCATTGCGATTTACATTAAACTCTATACGGTGTCTGAGTTTGTCTAAGTATGTTCTCTACTTTGCTACTCAAAGTGTGGTCTGCTGACTGGCAGTGACAACATTACCTAGAAAGTTGTTAAAATTGCTTCAGAGGATCTTGTCCTGCTGCAAGCCTGCTGAGCTGGAATCTGCATTTTAGTGAGATCTCGGGTGACTGGCATGTAGGTTAGTGTTTGAGGAACACTTTTCTTGGGTGATGTGAAAGGGGAACATAGAGACCATATCAATTGCTGAAGCAAATTTTGGTGGAAGTCAATTTGGAGAGGAAGTTCTAGAAGCCATGGCACTTGGCAGCATTTACAGTAAAGAAAAGGGGCTGAAACCTTGGTGCTCCATGGTTGCAAGCCCACTGTATTTCTACCACGATGCATATACATCTATCACCAACTGTATTTAAATTTCTATAGGACAAGAGCTGAAAATTACTCAACTTTAACTCTCCTGACAACAAAGTACTCTGTAAATGGTATGTGCTTGGTAGATCTATTAATATGTCAGTTTGAGCTAAGAAAATAGTCTAAAGAAAAAGAGGTAGCATCCTGAAGCCAGATCATCAGGTTTTTCTGGGGTGAAAATTCTAGGGTGCATCGGTGCAGTCATCACCTAGGCTCAATACAGCACTCTCTCCTCTGCACACCTCATAGTAAGAAGTTAACATTGCAGATACATAAGGAGGTTTTGTGAGACATGGGGATTCTTCCCTTGATGCTGCCTTCTGAATTGAGGGGAGCCACATATTACTATTCATCAACAATGACAGCACAGAATCTGCACCACTGGGGCCAACCACACACCCAAATAACTTTAATACCTGAGCCTCCCTAGACTCACCCTCACTTTATGGCATTGTAAGTGGAGCCAGACCAAAGGGCTCCGGTGATCTCCTAATGAGAAATGGTCAGCAAGAAAACTTTAGGAGTCACTCGGACAGTGCGATCCTTATTTAGTACATTAGGGTCCAAGGTTACTCCTAAAGAATAAGATACAGTGTAACTCCGAACTAATAATTTAGAAGATAACTCACAGAAGGCGTAAATAAACACCATCAGCGTTATATGTCTTCTAAACTTTACTGTGATAGCTCAGTCCTGCCAGGGAGGAGATGAAATAAATGGAAAAACAAGGGACTCAGTCAGGAATAGGTCCTCTGGTTTCAGCTCTGCCATTTCCTGGCTGTGCAGTATTAAGAAATTACTTTCTATGTATTATGATATATTGTATTCTGATATATTTCATATATGCTTTAAAATTAAGAACATAATTATTTCTCCATACATTACAGGGATTAAATAAGTTAATATGTTTAAAAGCTGTAAGATCTCAATATGGTCTTCAGACATGTTTGTTTGGACATGGCAGTGTTTGGATGATTTTGTATTAATAGATATCTATACATAAATTATCTTAAATATGAAAAAACATGGAAATACTAGACCTATATTCCCACATGGAAACATTCAAATATTCAATAGACAACCCTCAAAAATTTGTTAGCCTCTTAGTTCATAAAGATCCCACTAGTCACAGTGTGAATATGTACTTGCTCTATAAATTTATATTATTTCCTTGCCTCCTCTAGACATTTAAAATTATGATCCCTGATATGAATTCCCAATCTTCCCCTTCCCCACACCCTCTCTCTCTCCCTCTCTTTGTCTCTGACACACGCAGACACACACACACACACACACACACACACACACACACACAATTATATATTCTGGTTTTTCTCCTGGAGAGCTTTGTTTAGCAAGCAGACCAACACAGAGATCTGGCTTTTGCAAGGCTTCTCCTGATCTGCAGTTCCATCCACCTCCTGTGTATCACTCCTACACTTTGTTTATAATTGTAAATATATTTGCTAATACTTTCTTCCCTCTGTGTGCTGTTAAGAAAAACTTTTTCCCCCTAACTTAGAGTGAAGTTAATGTGATTTGCAGAGGGAGAATAGTATCCTAGACTGGCCAGGGGTATTAATAAAAACCACTATACACTTGAAGGTTTTGACAGAATTAGCACGGATTTGGCCAGCGTGCAGGAGAGAGTAAGGAAAAGGAGAGAGCAGTTGAGGATCTGCTGTGAAAGAGAGACAGTTTTCTGCTACCCTGATTTAGCAGAGTAATCAACACACGGAGGTAGCCGGAGTATTGGGTTTCAGTTCGATACCTACCACTGACTTATAAAGGACCATTCAAAGCTGGTTTCCACAGGCCAATGTTGCAGTTTTCTGTGTATAAAATGAGATGGGGGGAGGAGATTTTAAAAACTTCCAGCTGTAAAGTTCTTTATTCTGATTAATCATGAATACAAAGTTTAAATAGAGTTACTGTTATTTTTATTATAATTCCAAATCATTTATTGAATATGTCTATGTGCATTATGATACAGATTTTTTACTGTAAGATAAGAACTGCTTTATTTATAATAAAAGACATACATTTATAAAATACATATAAATATATTTAACTTAAGTAAATAATTTTATTGGAAAACATAGAAAAAGCTGTTAATCAATGAAACACGTATCATATACTCTTTCATGTGAAAACTTACCATTAATGTTTATTTTCTTACATTTAATCTATAAATATGATTTAATTCTTCCTAGAAATTCAAAGCATTTGTTTGTTTTGTGAGATGGAGTTTGATTCATATCTCACATTATGTAAATCACACTATGAAGTTATAATAAATAAGTGATATATCATCATTCATAAAAAGATCTGCAAAGCAAAAATGCATACACCCACACAATCTCCTGACCATCAAGCATTATAATAAGTGCTGTGGTGGTGAGCACCTGAGAATTTTTTTGTTGATATATAGCAAAAGTGAACTAAGAGTGTTAGTACACAGTTAGTGTATACATATATACATACAGATATACATTGTATATTATATATACATAAAATATTCTGTATACATATAATTTATAATATGATACACATAGTATTTTATTTCAGTGAGAAAAGGAACGTATTTAACAGGTGATTAAGTTCTTAGTAACTATCCACTTTAATATAAATTTGGAATTCCAACACAAAAAAACTTCTAAATAAAAACTACTGTAACAATTTTAGAAAAAAAGTATAAGAGATGGTGCACTGAATACTTGGAATCCAAGGCTTTTTTTTTGTTTTGAAATGGAGTCTCGCTGTGTCACCCAGGATGGAGTGCAGTGGCATGATCTTGGCTCACTGCAACCACCACCTCCTGGGTTCAAGCCATCCTCCAGCCTTAGCCTCTCAAGTATCTGGGACTACAGTCATGTGCCACCATGCCTGGCTAATTTTTTTGTATTTAGTAGAGACAGGATTTCACCACATTGGCCAGGCTGGTCTCAAACTCCTGACCTCACGATCCGCCCACCTTGGCCACCCAAAGTGCTGGGATTACAGGCCCAGCCAAAGACATCTTTTTAATTTAATTTTATTTTTTTATTTTATTACAGTTTAAGTTCTGGGGTACATGTGCGGAATGTGTAGGTTTGGTACATAGGTATAGATGTACCATGGTGGTTTGCTGCATCCATCACCCCATCATCTACATTAGGTATTTCTCCTAATGCTATCCCCCACCTACCTACCCACCCCGCCGATATCCCTCGCCTAGGCCCCCACCCCCAACTGGCCCCAGTGCATGATGTTGGCCTCCTTGTGTCCATATGTTTTCATTGCTATACACCCGCTTATGAGTGAGACATCTTTTTAAAGCAAAATATAGCAAACAGAAAAAATATAAAGAAAAACAAATTTAGATTCGTTTATATAAAACTGTATTTGTTTGAGAATTGATTGACAAAGTCAAAGACAAACACAGATTGGGAAAGGCATACAACAAAAATGTTATGGAAATATTTATTTATTTATTAGGTTGGTGCAGCCGTAATTGCAGTTTTTGCCATTAAAAGTAATGGCAAAACAGCAATGATGTTTGCACCAACCTAATATTTATTTATTTTTGAGACAAGGTCTTGTTTTGTTGTCCATGTGGGAGTGCAGAGGCAAAACCAAGGCTCACTGCAGCCTCAACCTCCTTGGCCTGAGTGAACCTGTCACTTTTGTCTCCCTAGGAGCTGGGATTATAAGCATGTGCCACCATGACTGGCTATTTTTTTGTTCTTTACATTTTTGAAGAAATGAAATATTCTTATGTGGGCCAGTCTGGTCTTAAACTCCTGTACTTAAGCAATTATCTTGCCTCAGATTCCCAAAGTGTTGGGATTACAGGTGTGACCCACCCACTTATATTTAAAATATAAACAACCCAATAGAAAAATGGATGAAGGTTGGATCCAAGAAGACCGAATAGGAACAGCTCTGGATTGCAGTTCCCAGTGAAAATACAGAGGTACAAAGATAACAGAAGACGAAACTGGCAGCAACCCTTACTGCAGCTGCTGCAGATAATCCCCAGGCAAGCAGGGTCTGGAGTGGACCTCAAGCAGCAGTCCTGCAGCAGAGGGGCCTGTTAGAAGGAAAATTAAGAAACAGAAAGAAATAATTTCATCATCAACAAAAAGGACATCCAGAGACCCCATCTGAAAGCCACCAACTGCAAAGACCACAGGTAGATAAATCCACAAAAATAGGAGGAAACCAGCACAAAAAGGATGAAAGCACCCAAAACCAGAATGTGTCTCCTCCTCCAAGGGATCACAACTCCTCACCAGCAAGGGAACAAAGCTGGATGGAGAATGAGTCTGATGAATGGACAGAAACAGGCTCCGGAAGGCGGGTAATAACAAATTTCTCTGAGCTGAAAGAACATGTTCTGAGAGGCTGAACTCGGGTTCTGACAAGATGGCCAGGCTGCCCCACAGGACCATCAAGGAAACCCAGCGTTTGCTGGCAGAACCAGTTCCTGGCATCAAAGCAGAACTAGATGAGAGCAATGCCCGTTATTTTCATGTGGTCATTGCTGGCCCTCAAGATTCCTCCTTTGAGGGAGGGACTTAAACTTGAACTATTCCTTCCATAATAATACCCAATGGCAGCCCCTAAAGTACATTTCATGACCAAAATTTATGATCCTAATGTAGACAAGTTGGGAAGAATATGTTTAGTTATTTTGAAAGATAAGTGGTCCCCAGCACTGCAGATCCGCACAGTTCTGCTATCCATCCAGGCCTTGTTAAGTGCTCCTAATCCAGATGATCCATTAGCAAATGATGTAGCGGAGCAGTGGAAGATCAACGAAGCCCAAGCCACAGAAACAGCTAGAGCATGGACTAGGCTATATGCCATGAATAGTATTTAAACTGATCTGATCATCAAGTGTGCATCACTTCTCCTGTTCTGCCAAGACTTCTTCCTTTTTGTTTGTATTTAATGGACACAGTCTTAGAAACATTACAGAATAAAAAATGGAAAAGCCCAGACATTTTCAGTCCTTTGGTGATTAAATGCACATTAGCAAATCTATGTCTTGTCCTGATTTGCTGTCATAAAGCATGAGCAGAGGCTAGAAGAATCATCTGGATTGTTGTGAAAGGTTTAAAAGCAGCGGCCCCTTCCTGCTCTTACTCATTTCCCCCATCCTGGTTTAAGTATAAAGCACTGTGAATGAAAGTAGCTGTCAGGTTAGCTGCAGGGGTGTGGGTGTTTTTCTTTATTTTTTTGATGGGGGAGGTAGTTTTATTTTAATTTTATGGGCTCCTTTCCCCCTTTTATGGTGATCTAATTGCATTGGTTAAAAGCAGCTAACCAGTTATTTAGAATACGCTCTCTAGCCAAGTCTAACTTTATTTAGACGCTGTAGATGGACAAGCTTGATTGTTTGAACCAAAATGGGAACATTAAACAAACATCACAGCCCTCACTAATAACGTTGTGACTTTACTGTCAAGTGTAGATTCCCTCCTTCAAAAAAGCTTGTGACCATTTTGCATGGCTTGTCTAGAAATTTCTGTAAATCTTATGTTTTAGTAGAATATTTTTTGTTATTCGACTTTGCCTTTGTACAGTTTATTTTACTTTGTTTATTTCATTTTCCCAATGTGACAATTGTATTTTAAAATTAAAACTGATGGAACATTCTGTCCTGGTCCACCATCTGACAAATTGAATGGCAAGGGGTAGATTTTGCCAGTTTCTTTTCACTGATGCAGATTTGCGTTAAGAAAGTGTTGAATGGAGTATTTATAAACTGGCCCTGAGCATGCATAAAGCATCAATATCTGACCTTTTTTAACCTCCTAGGAATTTGAAATAAATGTGTTTGTGTTGTCTGATTAGATGATCATTGGTGTCTTGCCACAATGTTTAAATATTACTGTACAGGAAAGTCACAGCAAAGAAAGCAGTTGTAACTGACATGTAGGACTTTCACACTTGTGCCACATTTTTGCCTAAAATTTGGGTTATGACCTTTTTCTTGGTTCTTGTCTGAAAATTTCATCTGTAACCTTTGGTATGTTGTTAAGAAACGCTGATCTGATAATCATTTGGGATTTGCTGAGGCATTTGTGAATCTTTCTTATAAACCTGCAGATCTCAAGCATCCAGCTTGCGTGTAACCAGAAAGGTTTATTCCTTTGAGAGCATCAAATCCTCAATCAATGATGATTCTTGCTTTCATCCCTCTAGTATTTGCTATAGGAGCTCCTTTTATTCTTTAATTTGAAATTCAGTAATTTTTCTTCTTCATTGACAGAGTTCCTCCCCTCACAAAACTGTTCTTTAAGTCATAAATGTAGCCAGTCATAAATAAATGAATGTTAACTTTTGGGTTGGAACTTTGTTTCTTGCAGTTTAAAGTAATGGCTATTGTAGCCCATTTGAATTTTCTTCATTCTTATTCTCGTAATTCTGGAGTTTCTTCAGATTGTGGTGTATTTTATTGTGCTCCTATGTAAGATGAAGAATTAACTATTACAATTACATTTTCAACGTGAAAAAAAAAAAGAACATGTTCTAACACAACGTGGTGCTGAGAAGAATGTATATTCTGTAGATTTGGGGTGGAGATTTCTGTAGATGTCTATTAGATCTGCTTGGTCCAGATCTGAGTTCAAGTCCTGGATATCCTTGTTAATTTTCTGTTTCATTGATCTGTCTAATATTGACAGTGGAGTGTTAAAGTCTCCCACTATTATTGTGTGGGAGTCTAAGTCTCTTTGTAAGCCATTAAGAACTTGCTTTATGTGCCTGGGTATTCCTGTATTGGGTGAATATATATTTATGATCATTAGCTCTTCTTTGATGCATTGATCCTTTTACCATTATGTAATGAATGGTATGCCCTTCTTTGTCTCTTTTGATCTTTGTTGGTTTAAAGTCCACTTTATCAGAGACTAGGATTGCAAGTCCTGCTTTTTCTTGCTCTCCATTTGCTTGATAAATCTTCCTCCATCCCTTTATTTTGAGCCTATGTGTGTCCTTGCACGTGAGATGGATTTCCTGAATACAGCACACCGATGGGTCTGGACTTTTTATCCAATTTGCCAGTGTATGTCTTTTGATTGGGGCATTTAGCCCATTTACATTTAAGGTTAATATTGTTAAGTGTGAATTTGATCCTGCCATTTTGATGCTAGCTGGATGTTTTGCCCATTAGTTGATGCATTTTTTTCATTGTGTTGATGGCCCATATACATCATAGAATACTATGCAGCCATAAAAAATGACGAGTTTCTATACTTTGTAGGGACATGGATGAATCTGGAAACCATAATTCTCAGCAAACTGACAGAAGAACAGAAAATCAAACACTGCATGTTCTCACTCATAGGCAGGTGTTGAACAGTGAGAACACATGGACACAGGGAGGGGAGCATCAAACACTGGGGTCTGTTGAGGGGGGCAAGGGAGGGACAGCAGGTGGTGGTGTGGAGGTTGGGGAGGGATAACATGGGGAGAAATGCCAGATGTAGGTGATGGGGGGATGAAGTCAGCAAACCACATTGCCCTGTGTGTACCTAGGCAACAATCCTGCATGATCTGCACATGTACCCCAGAACCTAAAGTACAATTTAAAAAAAAGAAAAAAAAAAGAAAATGTGTTACATATACAAAATGGAGTATAATTCAGCCATAAAATGAATGAGATCCTGTCATTCATAACAACATGGGTGAAATTAGAGGTCATTATATTGAGTGAAATATGCCAGGCACAGAAAAACAAACATTGCCTGTTCTAACTTATTTGTGGAATCTAAAAATAAAAACAATTGTACTCATAGACATAGAGAATAGGATGTTTACCAGAGGCTGAGAAGGGTAGTAGGAACCTGGGGGAAAGGTGAGCTTAGTTAATGGGTATAAAAAAATAGGAAGAACGAATAAGACCTACTATTTGATAGCACAATAGAGTGACTATAGTCAATAATAATTTAATCATACATTTTAAGATATCTAAAAGAATGTAATTAGATTGTTTATAACACAAAGGATGACTGCTTGAGGGGATGGACACCTGATACTTCATGATGTGATTATTTCACATTGCATGCCCGGATCAAAACATCTCATGTACCCCATAAATATATACACCTACTATGTACCCACAAAAATGAAAATATTTACATTTTAAAGTTAGTCAATTATTGTGCTACAACAATTGTGCTCCTCATAATGTGCACATAATTAATTGTATTGACATCAAAAAATGAATTAACCATGTTCAGAGAATAAATCTGTAGTTACTCTGTTAGTTAACTTTTGCTGTAACCAACTACAAAATCTCAGATGCTTACAACTACAGCATTTGTTATAATGCTCGCTGGTTAGTAGGTTGGCAGAGAACCTCTTGGTCTAGGCTGCTTTGACTTGCTGGCTTTGCTTCAGTTCTGCAGGTATCAGGGACTGGCTCCAGGCTGTGAATTTGGCTCAGGTTTGCACCATGTATCTCCTTCTGGAAACCAGATTCAAGGGGAAGTACTACTAGGGAAGCACTACCCTAGTACAAGAAATCAAACCTTGCAGCAAAATCACACTGAATTTCTTGCTTTTATCACATCCACTAACATCCTATTGACCAAAACAAGTCATGAGGACCGCATTGACCAGAGAAAATCGTGTGTCTAAAGTCAGAGTGAAGGTAAATACAATCTGTCCACTTTGTCCCTCCTGATGTGGATGTGAATGAATACTGCTGCTACTAAGAAGTAAAGAATTGAGACCGATAATTCCAAATGGCACTTGAAAGATTCCATTTATGTAAAATGTTGTTTTACATAAGTGTTCACTAAATAAGTAATTATAGTTAGGTTTGGGAGATATAATTTAAGATTATTCTTATTTATTTTTTTCTGAAATAAGCAAAAATTTTAAAAATTAAATTTTATTTTAAGCTGACATAATAATTATGCATATTCATAGTGTTGTTTTGATGCATATTATGTATAGTGATCAGATCAGGGTAATTAGCATATTTATAGTCTCAAACACTTCTCATTTCTTTATGTTGAGAACATTCAGTATACATATATAATCAAAAATATACTAACATTTTAAAAACTAAATGAAGAATGAAAAAAATTATATTCTCTCTTTGTTTTCCTGGCCTGATCAGAGTTGAATAGCCCATCTCTTGGTGTGAAAAATCTAAATGAGAGACTTACTTGCATTTTCCTCATTTATCTAATTTCTAAGGATTGGTCAGAATTCTTACTTCTTAAGGAATTACAATACAAATGGAAGATCTATATAGCCGAGAAGAATGTTTCTGTCTTATTTTTCCTTTGCTATGTAGATGATTAACTCTTCTAGCTTTATCTAGTATTAAGGTATAGATATAGTGACAGGATTAACAACGATAAAATAACAATGGGCACACACTTGGATGGTTGTGACAAGATCTGGACTCTGGCCCTTCCTGGACATAACCCACCCACTGGCATAGGCCACTGATATGTAATGTGCCAGTGGATGGGTCATGTTCACTCTTTGGGGCTTGTAAACTGTCATCAATATACACAGGCATACTTCCAGGGACAGGAAACTACATCCACATATATGCCATCAATATACACAGGCATACTTCCAGGGACAAGAAACTACATCCACATATATGCATTTATGTGTACGTGAATGATCATTTCATGCCTGATGAGCTGAGTTCTCACAGAAACTTTAGTATCAGGAGGCCTGTACCACCAAACATGAAGGGACATCCTCTTCACTGAGCACAACCCACCTTCCTGGGCTGCAACCTTTGAGTATTCTCTCTCTAATCTCCTTCATCTTGACACTATAGAGAATAGGGTTTATCAATGGAGGAAGCAGGAAATGGACATAGGAGAGAGGAGTATGAGTACA